AACTGCTCAGCAGGGAAGCTGCAGTTTGCAGCTTCATTTGGGAGGGAAAGAGCCTTAGGACGGGGCAGAGATGGCAGAATTCTGCATTAAATCAGGAATTAATGGCACTGGCAGCAAAGCCACGTTCAGCCCAGGCACCACTTTGCACTTCCAGCCTGTTCAGGCACGAGGCTTTCCCAAAACCCTGGACAACACACGGTGCATTCCCGTCCAGCACTGGAACAGCAAGAAGTGTTTGTGGAGAACTTCTCCTCTTGGACAATGCCCAAATATTTCCCACTTCCTCTGCCCACTGGGACACAGTTGCCAGACTGAGCTCCTAAAGTGGTAACTGGCAGTGGGTAGCAGTGACTCAGATTTTCGGGAATTACAAAACTCAGTTTCCCCCTTCTGAAAATCATTCCCTCGGAGTCCATTTTTAAACAAGAAAGCACAGGCTTAGAGGGGCTCTCAATTCCACAAAATTAAAAAACTCCCTTCTCTCACAAGGGAAGGAAACACAGCAGGATCTCCTCTGGTGAGTGAAGGGTGGTGAATGTGCTGTTTGGACAGGGAGGTGCCTCCAGCCCAGGCAGAGAGATCCGTGTTTGCAGAACAGTTGGAGCTGCAGCTTCTGGAAGGAATCCATGAGAACTGCAGAGAGGCTGAAATTTAAGGTTGAACTCGATGATCTTGGAGGTCTTTTCCGACCTTAATGACTCTACGATTAGTCAGCATGGAAGGACACAGACAGTGTGGAGATTTTACCTACAACACCTGTCCAAGGCGTGTTAGACCTCACACAGTTTTGGGAACAGTTTTGGGATGAAGGATGTACCATGTGAGCAGCTTTTCAATAAATGACAATAAATTAAACCCACTCTCTCACTGTGAGATTTGGAATTCCTGTGGGCTGGAGTGTAAAGTGACACAAGAATTTCCTTTAACTCCTGCAGTCTTGGTGAGAGCTAATGAATTATTCCAGGGCTTTGTGCTAAGCCTCACTCCCTGTGGGACAGCAGTGCAGACAGGACAATTCCCACCCCAGGGAGCTCTTTCCTCTCAGACACTGGCACAGGCTTCATCAGTGATCACTTTTCACTTAGGCCAGACCCAAGGAAAGCTGCAGATCCCCTTCCTAATTTTAGCACTCCCTCTTGTACTACTTTATCGCATGATTCTGTAATTTTACTTAATTTTGGGGAGAGAATATGCCAGTTCTGAAGTAATTTTAACCTCATACGGTAAAACATACATTTGTATTTGTTCTATAAAAATATATATTTATTTATATTCCATATATATTTAAATTTTGCAGGTATGAAAAATATCCATGAACATAATATTGTGTATCAGAGAACAGGAGAGGCTGCTGGGAGGGAGCTCTCATGCTTGTGTGCATGTATGTGCTTAATGTCTTTCTATTTGCTTTGTCTTCTTAATTTATCTGAAATTTCTCTAGCTGGCTGTTTGATTTAATTCAGTGAATACATCATTTAAAAGGTGTCACACAGATTTTTCTGGAAAGTGGGAATATCTCTTGTAAGAGGCACAGCAGGGGAAGCAGTGTAAGAATTTCAGACTCTGTGTATGAAAAGCTTCCCTGGGAGCAGAATTGCCTTTTATTTGGGATCTTTCTCACTTCTGAGCTGGCAAACAGAACAGTAGGGGGGGCTTAAAATGGATGGAGGATTTGCTGCAGCAAGGTGTAAGAAATGTGTTTTTCTGCACCAATGCTGCTGTGCTGTATTCTGTAACCAAGCAATCCAAAATGTCTTGATCCAGAGTTTTCATGTTCTTTTTTTTAATCACAGAATCCTGAATTGGTTTGGGTTGGAAGGTACCTTAAAACTCATCCAGTTCCACCCCCTGCTGGGCAGGGACACCTCCCACCATCCCAGGCTGCTCCAAGCCCCATCCAGCCTGGCCTTGGGCACTGCCAGGGATCCAGGGGCAGCCACAGCTGCTCTGGGCACCCTGTGCCAGGGCCTGCCCACCCTCCCAGCCAACAATTCCTTCCCAATATCCCATCCAGCCCTGCCCTCTGGCAGTGGGAAGCCATTCCCCGTATCCTGGCACTTCAGGCATTTGTCCCAAGTGCTGCTTCCACCCAGCACCAGGCTGCTCTCTGTGACCCTGCCAGGCTCAGGGTGGGATTGCTGGGGTGCCTGTGCAGAGCCAAGGGTTGGACTCCATGATCCCTGTGGGTCCCTTCCCACTCAGGATATTCCAGGATTCTATTTAATGATTCTGTGATTCACATTCCTGACTTGAGGGGCTCTGCCTTAATCCTTCCATGCAGACCTGGCTGTGGAGAGAGATGCCCTCCTGGGGAAGGCGTATCCAGAGGCACGGGGCCAATGCTTGAGGTAAATCACTTCTCTCCTTCCTGTCCTGTCCAAAAGCCATCAAAATGTGTGTGATGGACCAAAAAATACTCCCAAAATGCTCACAGATTTTCCATCTCCTCAGAAGTCAAATACTGCTGTACCAACTTCCTGTTCCAACTTTTGAATAAAGTGTATTTGTATGATTGACTTGTCTGGATTTCAAGGCTTGATTTAGGTGGATCATCACCTTCAAACACCTGGACATCAGGGTTTATATCATCCTTTCATTTCTGTATTCAACTGGGAAAAAGTGCCATGTATAAATTCCACTGGATATACTCCAGGGGTAATTTAATCCTAATTACACTAATTTGCACAGAATTTCTAGCATAAGAGGCTATTGGAACATGGGGGATCCTTCTGTGGCAGAATATAGGCGTGAAATGTTGCAGCAAATAACCTGCAGTCATGAGGTTCCTTGTCCTGAAAGACTAAGTTGTTTACTGGGTCATCCATGGCCCAAAATTCCCAGGATCTTCACAGGAGAAATCCTTAGCAAGAGATTTTGAATATCTCAGTGTCTCTTGCAGAGTTCTGGCAATTGGAGTTGCACGTCCTTGCCCATGTGAGGGGGTTAGAATGGGATTATCTTTAGGGTCCCTTCCAACCCAAGCCATTCTGTGATTTTCTACTGCTGATGTTCAGACTCATCTAAAAATTAAACTTAATTTTTCCCCTATCACTGTTTTTACATTAATAGTGACTAGTCCTCCACACTATCAAGATTTGCTCAGTAACCAGGGAAAAAACACAAATCCCCCTTGCAAAGAAGCAGAAATGAAAATGCCATAGCAACCAGCAGGGACAGAGCAGGGTGTCATTCTGCAGGTTGGCACCAGCTCCCTGCTTCTGCCTTAAATCCTCTGCTCACTCCTCCTAAGCCCTGAGAGCTCCCCAGCCCAGCTCAGTGTCCTTGAAGCACTTTGGTGACAGCCCTGAAGAGAAATCCACACCCAGAGCTTTAAGCCTTGCACAAGTGAAGGCTCAGACGTCTGCAGAAGTGCCAGGTGGCTTCCTCAGGTTGTTTTGGCTTTAGAAAGGGAGAAAGTTTTGCTGAACCAAGAGAATAAACACACAAAGTCTCAGGGGGTATACCTGAAGGCACAAGTAAATAAATAACCCATTGAGTATTTGTGCAAGTTTGTCTGATTTCTCCTGAGTCGCTTGCACCAGAGGTCAGCAAGAGAGGCACAGAGGGGAGAGCTGAGCCAGCATTGCTGCAGCTGAGCCCTGCACGGCTGAGTCCTGCCCTCCCAGCCCCACAGAGCCTGTCCCACATGCAGGTGACACCCACAGGGGGCACTGGGGCTGTGTGTTCCTCACACAGCTCCCAGCAGAGCTCCCAGTGCTCCCTGTCCCCTGCTAGGCCCCGCTCAAAGGTTGCACTGTGGGTTTGCACTTTGAGCTCATTCTGTGTCTCCAGGCTCTGTGGATGCTGGCCCTTCCCAGGATCTCACCCTTCCCCAGGCCAGGCTTCAGTTCCAACCAAAATTCCCAGGCTCAGCCCATGGTTCTTCTCCACCCCAGAGCAAATCTCACAGTATCACTGGCCAGAGCCCCCAAACCAATTCTGCTTCCACTGCCTCACTTTCACCTCTGGAAATGCACCTGTCCTTGAGCACGGGTCAGGCTGGGCCCTGTCCCCATCCAGCAGGGAAACCACAAGGATGTTGTAATTACCAGCAAGTTTTCTGAGCCTCCCTGGCATCCCAGGTGAATAGGCAGCATCCAGCCCCCGTCCCAGCTGTCTCTGTGTTTCCCAAATCCTTGGGATAAACAAACCCCCCTAACAGTGCCTTTTTAGTGTCAGTGAATCAGGAATTACTTTATTCCTGTCCAGGGTTTGTGTGTGTGGCTGACAAAGCTCTAGCCTCCATATAGTCCCTGATACAAAACTTTGTCACTTATTTTTAGCAAACAAAGAAATCAATCTTCATTGGTTCCAAGTTACATAATTCTCTTTGTTAATTAGTATGCTATCCTCTATTGGCTATTGATTTCTCACTCCTCATGTTAATTTTGGTCCACATTCTTTAGTCCTTTTATTATCTCTTGCTCACATGGGAAGGGCTTTCCAGGCCTTGATTTCCTCTGTATCTTCTGGTTGCTCCAAAGTCCTTGAAGGGCCATAAGTTTAAGATCTCAGATATTCAAGCTTCAGCATCCTTTGGCTCTGTTTATTGAAGCTGGTCAGTGCTAGTTTTAGCAATTTGAGGTTTTGGCGATTTAGTGATCAAAGTAACAAGTAGAGCCTGTGAAGAAACTTTACTAAGAAAAAATCCTAAAAGTGGGCACCATTTACAATTAATTAAAACAACTAATTAAGAAATAGTTAGGAAAGTTATATCATTCCCAACAACTGCAGCAGTGCATGAACACTGGCCCTTCTCTACCTGTTGCAAGGTCTTCTGAGCAACCACTACAGACACCTGAGGATTCCAAGAGGTGAACTAGACAAAGGATAACCAGCTGGAAAAAGAGCTTGGTTCAGACAATGAAGCAGAACAGCTGCTCAGCAACCTTAAAGCAAGATTTAAAAGCCACTGTCCCCAGCACCTCACAGTACAAACTGTGTCCTGCAGTGAAGACCTCAGCAACCCCCAGCACAAGGGAAATAATAAATACCTGAAACAATTTAGTGAGCAGTTCACTGATGTTACAGATCACCAGGTTTTAGGGAATCTTCAGTGCTGAGGACAGATCATTGAGGAGCCAGGGCAGCTTCTGCAGGAGCTGGGCCACCACACAGCTCTGATCCTGAGGAAACACAGGTTTTCCTGTGGGAGACAGAATTTATTGGATAACATTTTCCAGTGTATTAGGCAGGACAACAATAAACCCCATACAACCCTCATCTTTTATGGGCCACCAGGCTGTGGAATGTGCAAATTATCTGAGCAGGTGCAAACTGCTGTAGGCAAGACAGTGCTGTGACTATTGCTGGGGACATCCCGGGTCAGTTCTGCCCTTCACAGCCTGCTGAGGGACATTTGTTCACAAATCTGTTCAGCATTTGATTTGCCACCACCTCCACTGCAGACCAACCAGGCTCACAGTGATTTAGTCCTGATCCTCAGTAAACTCCTCCTCAGTCTCCCAGAGTGGCACTCAGACACTGGTGCTGCTCTGGACTCTGTGGAGTTTGCTGCCTGGTGGTGGGGCAGATTCCACTGGCCCCCCTCAGATTGCTCTCCATGGCCCCACATCATCATTTCCACTTCTACTGACACTCTGAACAACCCCCAGCACGCAGTGCCTGAGGCTGGGGCACACTTTGAAGTAGGAGCCTTGTTCTGTGAAGAAGGTGAGGAGATGCTGGAGCTGCCCTTGGCATCAGACAGACAACAGATAAGCCCAGCTCAAAGGGCTTATTTCCATCAGAGCTTCCCTCTGGGGGACAAGCCTTGCTCTTCCAGCTGGGCTTCCAGGAGGCCAGAAATGGGCATCTGGCAGCTCAGAGCTGGTGACTGCTGGCACAGCCCAGGACACCGTGCACTGTCTGTGCAGGGAAGTCCCACAGCAGGGCCCTCGTGCCTCATGTGCTTGGCTGTTTTGCTCCCTCACGCTGAGTGCTGGGTCTGGTGGCACAGCCTGTATTTCCTGCTGTTCATAGGCAATCTGTCTAACACAGCCAAAGCTCTCAGTTCTTTAAGCCTGGGAATGTGTTCTCACATATATTTAGCAAGGGTAACATTCCCCTCATGCCTGGCAGCCTATCTAAACCACAGCCTTGAAGGAGATGTTCTGGGATTACTTGGAGAAGGAAATTATCTCCATGGCTTATCCAGGGTGTAAGCTCTCAGCTGGCACTGCCATGTGGGCACAGGAGCTAGCAGGATGTTTGGTGCCTTGTTCAGGACAGCCAGAAAACCCCTCACCCATCCTCTGTGGGTGTCAGTGTAAACAGCCAGGAGGAGTAGAAATAATTTATTTTCCTGTAAAAACTTCCACTTTGCTTGCAGAAATGGGCTGTCAGACATGGATCTTCTTCCCAGACAATTTGTTGAAGTGATGCAGGATCATTATCTATCAAAACAAGACCAAATCAACAGGCATTTTCCCGTGGCAGGTTTCTACAAGGGGACCTGGAGCTGGGGAATGAAGAAATCTCTTACATTGCCACACATTAGCAGAACCTTGAGTGCTGACAGGAAGGTAAGGACTATCAGCAGGTATTTCCATACCTGTACACCTCTAAACTCTGGAATAGAGCTTTGTGTTCTCCAGGCTGCTGGACAGGGTCTGAAATCAAAATACAATGGAAATAATAGTAACTAACTCTATTCAGTGCTTCCAATGATCAAGATACATATATTCTTTAAACTAGTATCCACAACCAAGGAGATCTAAAGAAGTTTTACAGACTCTGTCATTCACTCTTCACACATGTAAAATGCTACTGCAGCAAGGGAGGAAGTAATTTATCATTCCTCTGCAGAAAGGCAGCCTGCCTTAGATTGCAGCAAGAGAAATTTAGTCAGGAAAAACATTTCCTGCTAACAGGAAAACAATGGAAGCCCTGGAAGTGCTGTCTCTGTAGCAGGAGCTGGGTGTCTGGCCCTGAGGTTGTGAAAACAAACAGATCAATCCACACACCACGTTTCAAACCCACTGCTCTGATTGCTCCCAGGTCACCCCTCAGCCACTCTGGTTCTCTGACATTGTCCCAAACCTGAGGAAGTTGAGTGAATTACCACTTCATTTACTACATGCTGGAGGAATTGAGCCAAAAAGGGATGTGCTGGGTAAGGAGAAGGGGAGCACAGGTGTACTTTGCTTCATGCTTACAGCCATGGGTAAGGATCACACCCTTTCTGCTGGGCTGTGAGAAGGAAGCTTGGAAAGAGAAATAAGCTAACTCTACAAACTGTTATCCCAAAATTATCACCACACTCCTTTAGCAGCTGAAAGAATGATCTAGATACTCTAAACATCAGGAAGAAAGCATATTTAAAAATCTGCTAAATTTAGAAAAACCCCAAACTACAGAATGTTTAAAAGGTTACAGAAGGAACTGTGACAATGGCAGTCCTCCACATCCCCAGCAAAGCAGTTCCCTAGTTCCCCTTCAAGTGGCTGTTCATCCTTCCATCCCTTCCTTCCCCAAACCAGCATTTTTTTACCTCAGTCTTTTCAGAATAACAGTGCATTCTCAGGGCTGATGTTCTCTGTTCTAATAGTGTTTCTCCCTGCAGGGAACATGAACTGGATCTGCTATAAAATAACTGCCTCTGGAATGGAGAGTGTTGCTGATGGTTTTGCCATGCGTGCTGAACCTGCAGCCTCCTGTACACACAGCCCTGAGGGTAACACCCATCTCAGGGACAACAGTGGGACACAAGTGTTCATCTTGGGAAAGAACTGGATTTTTCCTTTGCAAGTAAAAGCACTTTTACGAGGAATTAAAAACAGTGACTAATTTATCTATTCTGGGATTTGTAAAAAGATTCATGCACTGTCAGCCATCTGGATTCCCTTGCAGCTTTAAAGCAAACCAGAGGACAGGGCACAGAGTGCTTCTCCTGTCTTCTTGGAATACCCACTCCTTCCTCAGGGAAAAATCCACACCATTACATTTTCCAGATTTTACACTGGAGCCATCCCTATATTACCGGATCAGGCCAGCTCAACTCATTTCACATTGTACATCACAGAAATACAGCTATGGCTGCTCCCACAGGCTCACCAGAGCCATGTTCTAAAAGGTTTTTCTGTCTCTGCCCTCTCAGGGATGAGGATAATCCATACAGAAGTGTTGGCCAGACTTCTTGCCTTGGTGCCTCCCTACCTGGAGCTCATGGGGCAGCTGTGCCAGCAGTGCCTGAGCTGGTGCAGGGTTTGACCCTACCCTGTGCTCATCCCACTGTGTGGATTTCTCCAGGTGAGGCCCTACACACAATCCCCACAGGATCCCTTATCCTCAAAGGTAGGATCATTCCTGGGGCAGATACAGCCCAAAAATATTTCTAATTATCCATCTGTTATGAACAAGATGCAAGAAACACAATAAACCGAGCAAGGAGGAGAAAACCTCTGTTTCTGTAGGAACCCAGCTTGGAGACAAAGGCAGGAGGAAGGTCCTGTGCCTTTGTGCTCGGCCATGCCCCGGCCCCATTGGCAACTGCTTCCACAAATGAGGGGAAAGTGGGTCATTTTGTCGTCAGGACAACAACAGCACACACTGACCTAGATATGTCTGCAGGAACCTAATCTTGCTCCTGGCACAGACCACGGGGTTCACACAGGACCAGGGGTTCCAGCTGGGGAAGCACAGCACATAAACAAGCTCAAAAATGTCCCTTTTCTGTCTGTGGCAGCAAGAGCAGCCTCTCCCTCCTCTCTGTGTGTCATGGCTGGTGTCACAGCGATGGCACTTGGTCCTGATTGCCAGCTGCTGGTGGCAGCTTCCCAGGATGGCTCCAGGATTGTCTGGAATATGGGAGTTTTTGAGATGCTGCACACCCTTCCTGGATGCTCTGCTGAGCATCTCTCACTTTTTGAGGCTGGAAAGCTGATTCATGGCTGAGATGTGACAGCTTGGCAGTCCTGGAGCTTTAGACACACAGACATCTCCCAGCCACAAGCATTCTCCTAAATCCCAAAAGCACTGAGAATCCCTCCCTTTGTGAGCCCCTCTCTTATTTTATAGCTCAGGTGAGGTGTGTGGAAGTCCCTGATAAAGGAACCTGTGCTGTTTCTGCTGCCATGGATCACAGTCTGCACATCTGGAATTTGATTTCTGGCAGAGCCAGGTTTATTATCCAGGATATGCAAAGAACAGTCCTCACATCGCCTTCATGTGGATGAGGGGAACAGGATTGTCTGTTCTTCCTCAGATACAAAGGTATAGCCAGTCTTTAGCTTAAAGGGGCTCAAAGAACCACAACATTGCAGTCACAACCTTGAAGGCTGAGAACAAAAAAGCCACCTCAGGCCTCGCTATTCCTGTCTCCTTTGCCACCTCTTTCTTAGGTCAGTGCTCGGCACCTGGGGACAGCAGAACTCATCTTCCAGACCTCTGGAGAGGTGACAGATATGTGGATGTTTTCTGCACTGCTCAGCCCCAGGCTGCTGCTTGTGACTGTGACTGAGGGAAGAACTCTGAGTCTGTGGAAGAGCAGCACCAGCGAGCTGAGATGCCAAACTCAGCTGTCAGGCTGCAGGGAGAAACACCAATATCCTGTGCTCTGATCCAGAGGCAAGGCAGGATGACAGCGGGATTCAGTGGGGGATCTCTATCCATGGAACACATTTATTTGTTAAACTTTTTAACTGTATTTCTTGTATTTCTTATAATATCCAAAGGTTTGATGAGCCAGACAACAGATCTGGTAATCAACAGACCTTCCTTCTCCATTCCAAACAGAGCATCCTCCTCAGACTTCCACAGTTCCCAAATGGAAAAGCAGAACTCCATCCTGCTGCACTTTACAGCTTTGCAAGTGGCCAGACCAAATTTCACTGTTAATCCCTCTCAACTTCACTCAGCTTTCCTGGCTTCATGTCTATGAACATTTTGTGCAGATCTTTTCTGATGGGGGCAGTCTGCTCAAGAAGGATTTGCTCTGTGGTGGTGGCAAAGATGAGTCTGTTCCCACTGCAGCTCCAGTAGCTCCCATTCCTTAGGGAAGTGTTGGCAGTAACTTCTCCCTCAAATGCCAGGAGTCCTTTCAAAGGGGTCAGCACATGGAATTTCCCATTGGCCTGGCTTTATTTGACTCTAGAGCTTAAGGGGTAACAAATTTAGGGTGAAATTCTCTTTGTGAAGAGGCAGAACATGTCTGGGCACCAGGAACCTTTTCCCTGGGAATGAGATGCAAGCAGTGTGAGGGACTAAAGCTGACATGATTATTTTTTACTGTTTCTAAGCTTGCCTTTGGGCTTTTTTTGAAGGAAATAGAGGAATTAAACCCTAAGAACAGGCTTTGAAGGGGATTGGAGACTTCCTTGGCCCAACAATTCATAAAGACATAAAACTAACATTTTATTGTTGGAGAGTATGTGCGAGTGTACCTGACAGATCCAAAGGGAAACAGACTGAGGACATGAAGGGGTGGCTCACACAGCTGTTATCTCTGCTGGCAACAGCCTTGTCCCTGGCTCTCAGGCTGCATCTGTCCAGGTAGGCTGGGCAACTTCCCAACCAGGGCATCTCTTACAAACCCAGCTCACAGAACATGCCCTTCATTCAGGAAAGGGTTGGGTTGATCCCCAGCAACCTGTGTGGGGCTTGGATTTGCAGTCCTGAACATGTTTCTAGTACTGCCACACTTCTAAAGAGATGACCCTTGTTTTTTTCTGCTTCAAGCCTTTCTGTTCCCCTTTCGTTTTTGATCTTGAATGGAGGGCACTTTATCCATTCAGAGGCCTGGCCTCATGTCAGTGTGTGCCTGAGGCCTGAAACACAATTTCATTTCTGAAATGTTTTAAAACTCCTAGAAGCTGCCTTGCTACCCAGCTGTGGGAAGGAGCCAGATGGGACACACACATCTGGATCACCATCTCTTGCCAAAGCAAGCACAGCCCTAACTGGGCAGGATCTAATCAGGCACCTTTGAGAGCAGAGGAAGCCCATGGCTGAACAGCTCCAGGTGCTGTCAATAGACTAAGGAGGCAAGGTTTTGCCTTCTGGCATTAGGCTGTTACCATTTGACAGAGACTGCTCCTTCCTGCTGCTTTAAAGCAAGAGATTTTGGGAAATCTGTTTCAGGCTTGGAGAGCTATTTAATCTTACCTCTGAAGCTTTTGTCTGGAACAGTTTGTGACAGGTAAAAATCTGAAATATGAATAATAAGCAGTTTCACAAGTAAAGAAGCCAACCATGAGCCCCATCTGAGGGCAGACAGAGTAGGAAGAGTCTCCCTGATTTCCTTCTTTCACAGGTGAAGGGTATGACACACTGAACACATCTGCCTGAGTGAGATGCTGGAAATATCTGAGCAAAGCCAGCTCCTTTTCATGGGGCTGATCTCTGGGACAGCCTTTGTCATCCCACTGAACTCCAGGCAGGATGTCACTGGCATCCTTCCTCCAGAGCCACAGAAACCGCTCAACCACATGGCAGTCAAGGCAGGAAAAGCAGTTTGCCATAGCATAGGATGATTTAGCTCTTGCAGATCCACGTCCAGTGATCCACAGGCTCACCCACACCATCAGAACCCAGAGCCCTGATTTCCTTGGAGACTGCAGTGTCATCTACAGCATGGCCAGCAGGGATTCAGTCCTTCAGGACTGCCCTGGGGCCCAAGGGCTCCCTTTGGAAGGTCACAGAAGGCAGATCTCCTGCTTGGCAGGCAGTGGAGCTGATGGTCTCTTGGAGCTCTGTCAGCAGCAACTTGAGCTGAGCTGTTCTGAGGGACCAGCACGCTGTCAATGGTTAATCACTGTCCCAGGCTGCCAGGCAGGATCCAGCTCACAGCATTCCCAAGGATACCCAAATCCTGACAAGCTGACAGGCACCAGCTTTTCCCAGCACCCAAGGCTGCTTTGGGAAGATCCTTACAGCTGGATTCACCACCCAGGTGTTGGTGCTGGCAGTGACTGAGGGCTGGGAACTCTGCTCTGACAGAAACAAAACTCACAGGAGTTTTTTTGTCTGCAGCTGGCTCTGCTCATGTCGCCAGAGTGAGACACAAGGCACAAACCAGGGAAGAGGATGAGACTTCTCAAGTTAATAATAGTGATAGAAAACAGAAATTAGGCCAACTCAGGAGAATCCAGGAGGAAAAAAGAAAAAAAGTGGTGCAGGAGGTTGGATCAGTGCTAATTTTCTTTCACCTGACAAGACACCAAGGATATGTCTGAGCTACTCCTTTCCACAGGTGGAATAAAGAGCTTTACTCTGTCCTAAAAAGGCTCTTTCCTGCACACCTGTGAGTGCTTCATAACCTAGGAGCTGTATTTGGCTCCCACCACCCTTCCAGCATCCTCCTGTAAAAATCTTTTATTTATTATCTCTATTCTTAAGCACTGAATAACCACTGAAAACTCTAAAAACATCTCCACTTCACCCTGTATTTACCAGCATAACAATCTAATGCCAACCATCCATTTTCAGCCCACATCTCTCCTGAAAGGCCTTTGCAGTGCCTGCTTCTCCAAAGATGATAAATACTTGTATGCTGGGGCACTGAATCAATCCACCACAGTCTGGAATGTTGAAAGCAGTAGCTGTGAAAGAAAAGGTCTGTATTAATTTAATCCTTCATGCTGTCAGAAGGGAAACAGATCACAGGGCAGCAGTTTGTACAAGTATCAGAAGAGGGGATGGAATATCAAATCCAGGGGCAGTGTGTGAGCATCCTGCCTGGAAACTGCAAACAGCTGGAATATTTCAGCACAATATAGAGAAAAGTATCCTGGGTTCAAATACCAGCAGCAAGTTTAAAGGCAAAGCAAGAAAGGATCCTGCATGTTTCTATTATGCAAATCATCGGTAATGCTTTAAGGAAAAACAAGCCGCATGGTTTTTTTTTCCCCCCCCTCTCTCTTCCTTGCTCTTGTAACTGGGTTTTAGAGTTCAAACTGCCTGCTGACAGGGACGGCTGGGGGAGGTGGTATAGCAAAGCTCACATTTATCCAGCTACCCCAGAGCAACCCTTGAGCTCAGTGCACACCAGTGAAGGTGTCCCTCAAACCTCCCATGGCTCTTCCAACCCCGGCTCCTCCACAGCCCCTCGGGCTCACCCAGCCTCGTTCCTCAAGCTCCCCTCGGGCCCCACCAGCCCCGTCTGAACCCCTCCAACCGCCCCGGCTCCCTCAGCCCCGCAGCACCAGACGCCGTTCCTCCAGCACCGGCAATTCCAGTTCTCAGCCCCCAGCTCCTTCAGATTGCCTGGGATCCCTCAGCCCCCTCGGGCTCCTCCAGCTCCGCAGGCGCTGCTCCCCCTCAGCTCCGCTGCGGCCCCGGCGCCCCCTGAGGCGCCGCTCCCGCCACGGCGCTCGAGAGGCCGGAAGCGGGCCCGGGGGGCGTGGCTTGTCACGATGGAAGGCGTGGTCTAATGGATATGGGCGCGGCCACACCGGTGGGCGGTGCGGAGGCGTGTCACATAGGGGGCGTGGCCAATCAGAGGGTGGAGGCGCAGCGGGGGCGTGTCTCGCCTCGGGGGCGTGGCCTTGGCCGTGCGCGCTGACGTAGTGGCCGCGCGCGCTGCCGGGGCCGCGCTCGCCCGCCCGATTCCAACATGGCGGCGGGGGGCGGCGGCGGCCGCGGGGCTGGCGGGGGCAGCGCCCCGCGCTGGGGCGGCGGCGGCGGCCGGGCCGCGCCGCACGAGAAGCTGCCGGTGCACGTGAGTGCGGGGACCGCCCCGGCGGCCGCGATCTCCCCTTCGACACCCTCCCCGCCCCCGCGAAGGGCCGTTCCTCGCCCCCCCGGGACGGCCCCGCCCGCCCCCGCCGTGACCTGCCCTGTCCCGGCCGCGGTGCCGAACTCGTCCCCCGGGGCTTGTCCCTCAGCCACCGGTATCGGGGCGTGTCCCGGGGCTTGCCCCCCTCGCGCCGGCGTCTTCCCCGCCCTCCTCCGCTGGTTCCATGGGGTCCCCTGGGGCCGGGTCCCGTTCCCCCGCTACCGTGAGGGCTCCCCGGGCCTCTTTCCCCCTCCCCTGGGCCGTGCCCCTCTCCCTGACCCTGCTGTTCCTCTCTGGTACCGCGGTCATCCTCCCCAGGATTCCCAGTTCCCGGCTCCCCGGTACCGTGGCCCCCTCCGTGCCTTGACACCCCGCAGCAGGGGAAGCCCACCGGGGCCTGCCCTCCTCCGGCCCCCTCACCCGGTACCGAGTGCCTTTCCCTGCTGCTGCGGCGCTCCCCCGGGGCCGGTTCCCAACCCCTACAGTGTCTTGAGGTGCCCCTGCCCCAATTCTGGGGGGCTCCCGGGTCTGTTCCCTGGCCTCACCGTGTTCTCACCCCACAGGTGGAGGATGCACTTTCCTACCTGGACCAGGTGAAGATCCGCTTTGGCAGTGACCCTGCCACCTACAACGGCTTCCTGGAGATCATGAAGGAGTTCAAGAGCCAGAGGTAAAGCCCAGGACCTGCACCCCAGGGTGCTCCAGGGAGCTCCTCAGCCTTTCACAGAATCCTGCAATATCCTGAGCTGGATCCCTCAGGGATGATCAGTGCAGCCCCTGGCCCTGCCCAGACCCCCCAACAAGCCCACCCTGAGCATCCCTGAGAGCGCTGTCCAAACGCTCCTGGAGCTCTGGCAGCCTTGGGGCCGGGCCCATTCCCTGGGGAGCCTGGGCAGTGCCAGCAGCCTCGGGGGGAAGAACCTTGCCCTGAGATCCATCCCAAGCCCTGGCACAGCTCCAGCCGTTCCCTCAGGTCTCAGCCTTTGTGGGGTCTCTCTGACTGTGCAGAGTCCCCAGCCTTCACCCCATCATTCCCCCTCTGCTTATTCACTGTCCTGTCCCTCAGTGGTGCAGTCATGTGAGTTTTGAGTACTTCTACCCACCCCATCATTTTCTAGAGGTGAAATCCACAGGAGAAGGCAAATCTGCTTTTACTGTCCACTGTGAAATGTAGATCTTGGAAATCAGTGAAGCAGCCTGAGCAGAACCTGTGATCTGCCAGCCCTGGAGAGGTGGTGGCTGTCCTGCCCCTTTGCCAACCTGCACACTCATCTCTCCTCTCCATGGATAACATTCCCAGGGCGAGGCTGGGATTATTATCCATGTGGTCATTCCCTCTAATTGGGCTATTTTTTATTTTTTTTTTAAAGAATTGCACCCTTAAGTTACCAGATACTTCACATTTCTCTGGCATTTTTTGGGCTTGTGTTTCTGATTTGGATAAAAGTAACAAACCCCTCTCAATTTTAGCATTGACACACCTGGAGTCATCCGACGTGTTTCTCAGCTTTTCCATGAGCATCCTGACCTCATTGTAGGATTCAACGCATTTCTTCCTCTGGGCTACAGGATAGAAATTCCAAAGAACGGGAAGTTAAGTATACAGTCACCTTTGAATAGTCAGGTAGGTCACAGAGTTCTTATTCTCTAAATAAACTGTTCCATGTGTCACTGGACACGTCCACACAGTTTAGACTGTGGAGATTTATGTCAACACCTTGCTGACATTTTTAGATGGTTTTCAAAGCCTGGGAAAATGGGTGTAATTTAAATTTAAATTTTTAAATGCTTATTCAAAGAATCATAGAGTGCTTTGGATTGGAAAGGACCTTAAAGATCACCTAGTTCCAACCCCTGATTTATTCTCAAACCAGGTAGTTTGACTCACACATGAATGATGATTCTGCATGGAAGCACCACTTCAAACACCAAATATTTCAGTCATGTTTGGAAACTGAAGTTGTAATTGGCCTGATATTGTTAAATGGGTTCCCAATATGGGTTGTGGGCAGTGGCAAATTTCAAGGGGTGATCCTGGAAGAATTGCACTTCTAGTCTTCCACTGAGAAACCAGGAAGCTTGTTTGGGCAACAGGTAAAAGTACACAGAACTGTGAAATCATTGAGTTGGTTACATTGGGAAAGGTCTTTAAGATCATGGAATCCCCATCAGGTGCTGTTGGTGTGAAACACACTTGCTGGGATACAGATGGATGTTGCTCCTGCTTGTTTTTTGTTCTTGTGTGGTTGTGGAGCTGAAATAGAGCCATCAACTGAATTCTGCTGATAAACTTGTGGTTTAACTCCAGTTAGCAGCAGGAACTAACTTCTAAATCTCAGCTCTCTCAGATCTCTCTGTTGCTTAAGAATTAGCATCTGTAAGGTCCTTATGTTTAATATGCCACTAAAACTGGCAGTTCCTCAGCAATAACCAGTGGTTGCAGAAGCTGCAGTGGGGGGTGTTTGCTGCAGCCTCTCAGGTGAGGCCAATAAGGCTGTGACAGCCACAATTCAAGAGGTTCCTACACCAGGGAGAACTTCAGGGATCATTTTAACTTTTGGAGTTAATAAACCAGGTAGGGAAATTGATTGGTGACTGAAATATGTTTTTCTTCCTGTGACAATATTTTTTAGCTGGAGACCTTGCCAGCACTGCTGCTGGGTTGTTGTTGAGCTAGTCCCTGATCCTTTTCCAACACATCTCGTGTGTCCTGTGCCCCCAGGTGCCCCCAGAGCCCGTTCCCAGCGCGCTCCCTGGCAGTGGGCTGGTCTTGCACTACTCCCAGGAGAACTCCCACAACCACAGCGACTGCTCCGAGGAGTTTCGGCAGCAGCTTCCCTACAAAGAAGATAAATCCCAAATTCCCTTGGAATCTGATTCCGTGGAGTTCAATAATGCCATCAGTTATGTGAATAAGATCAAAACACGTTTCCTTGACCATCCAGAGATTTACAGATCCTTTCTAGAAATCCTTCACACTTACCAGGTAAAGTCTTTCATGGAAGAAGCGGTGGGTTGGCACTGGAGCTGTCAGAATTATGGTTGTTAAATTTAATCTCTGCCTATTGAACAAACTTAGAGTTCCCAAGGACTTGTCTTTATCCAACTGCTGCCTTATAGATGTTCACAGGAAATGACAGAAAGTGTGAAAGTTGTGGAACTTTGCAGGGTCTAAAGAGGTTGTAGTCAGACCTGTCTTTACTCACCTTCAGTTGCTTTTGTGATCCTGTGTGTGAAAGGAGGCCCTGTAAGAACCTGGGGCTGGCTCAGAGTCCTTTCAAATTCTGTGGCATTGGTGTTTCTGGCTCAGGATGAGTTTTCTGGCAGAGTGAGGTACTTTTTGACTCTGTTGAACAGCTGTGTGTATATTTTCAGAAAGAGCAGCTGAACACCAAGGGCCGACCCTTCCGAGGCATGTCAGAGGAGGAAGTGTTCACTGAAGTGGCCAATCTGTTCCGGGGACAGGAGGATCTGCTCTCGGAGTTTGGACAGTTCCTCCCGGAGGCAAAAAGGTCTTTGGTAGGTGCTGAGAGCAGAGCAGGATATAGAGTGCTCTGTCTGCATGTAGAATATGCAAAAAATGGAAAATCATACAGCCAAAAATTGCTCCTCTTCATTGTTTGGATTTTCTCAGAATGGGTGACTTAACCACAAGCTCTGTGTCCTGTTAGGATTCTTTATTTGAGAGGAGAATGTTGAAATCATTATTTATTTACTTCAGTTCACAGGAAATGGACCATGTGAGGTGAACAGTGTCCAGAAAACTGAGCATGAGAAGAATCTGGAGCACAGCAAGAAGCGATCCAGGCCGCTGCTGCTGCGTCCTGTTTCTGGCCCAGCAAAGGTATCTTTCAGCAAGTAAAGACTTAGAATCACCTCATATTACTTTTTCTTAGTAATTGCTGAGATAAAGGTGTAATGAGTAGTGTCTTTGATGTATGTAGGTGTATGAGAAACAAAATTTCGAGTTATTTTAATTACTGTAGAAAAAGGGAATTTTTAATGCATGCTCAAATGTGTGTGGTAACATGTTTGATACTAAATATCACAACCTTCTGTACTAAATATTGGCCCTGGAAGGGGACAATTTATTGCTTCTATGCAGAATCTCAAGTGATTCTCTTTTTTTGTTTCTTCTTAGCTGGGAGACATTTGACAGCGATTGCTGTGAGGACGTGACACAGCAATTCCAGATCACTGCTGGGGAAATACAGGGTCTCAGCCTTTGCAGGGAGCTGTTCTGTGTCACCAGAGTGGAATTTGATGGCATTTGAGTCACAACATTTTAAATGTAACTGCTTGTTCTTTTAACAGAAGAAAATGAAGCTGCGAGGTACCAAAGATCTGTCAGTGGCGACAGTGGGGAAATACGGGACACTGCAAGAGTTTTCCTTCTTTGACAAGGTCAGTATTTGTCCTTTTTCTCACATTCTCTGGACATATCTTCAGCTTTTAACATGGTTGTTAATTGGTTGGTGTTCTGTACAATTTGAGTGTCAGCACTTAAGACATTTCCTGACTTTCCAAGTGGTAGAGAAAGACCTACAAAAATTAAAATGGGTGGGTTTGGAAGATTAATAGACTGATAATGAATA